ATAAGAACATACATTATGTACACACATCCTTCACATTTTTTTAACTGCATTGTTCGCAAACTTTCAGTAATTTTCCAAGGTCAATTTTCAGACAGTATTGTTGCTGTTAAACGCAGGACTGCTACCGGGGGGGGGGGGGGGGCTTGCTTCCAGGTGGCTGGAGCAAACAACCCTCCTTTAAAATCCGTCAAAAAGCTTTCTCATATTGAAACGTGGGCATTCCCTGTATCCCAACTTTTTTCTCCTTCCTCTGTTTTGCTTCCTTTTTATAACTGGAAGACAGATAGAAATCTAAAGAAATCCACTCAAGAAACCTTCCCACCCGACTCGGCCTGCCCTGAAATAGCTCAGGAAATGGTGTGGCTCCCTTTGCTTGGCCTGACAGACGGGACGGGGCGGATGGTTGCTGCCAATGATTAAATTCTCCGTTTAATGCAGGCTGAAACTGTGTCTTCTCTTCCCCACCCATCCATCCATCCATCCCTCCCATTCCCCCCCCCCCCGTGCCTCCAAACGGTCCCTTGATCAAAGCTGCTGGACTGACTATTAAAACCCCCCCTGCCCTAAAAGGGGGCCAGGAAATGAAGGGGCCTTTTCAATCACAAAAAGTTTCCCAGCTTGAAACGCCACTGCCTGTCAAATGCAATGATATGGCTGATCCTCTTTTCCACTGTATTGAATTTTTTTCCTGCCTTCTCAAAAGAGAATTGGGGTGGGTGGGGGAGGCAGGAAATCTATAGGGGGGAAAAACTAAAATGAAACTTTTAACACTGTAACATCGTAGAAATTGATGGAAAGCCCTGCCAGATGGAGCAGCAAGGAAATAAAAAGGCCTGCCGAAAAGGCCCATAATACAAAGCAAGCCAAGCCAGAAATGTATCAGCCAACCCTCACCCTGGTCTCAAGTTTCTGGAGCATGATGAGCATCTTTGCAAACAAATTCACAATTCCAGAAGCAACCGAGCTGCATGCTGATCAGAGGGGAAATGCCTTTTTCCTTGCATGCTGTGGAACAAATATATATATATATATATATTTAAATGCCAGAATGTATTTGGAAACCCATTTCGGTTGCTTGCTCTTTCTTTTTCTTTTGTTTTCTTTGCTTATTTATTAAAATAGGTCATCCAACTCCATAATACTCCTGGCAGTATGCAATAT